CAATGAGTTTAAGCATTGGTGTAAAAACAAAGGAATTGTTCTTGATTATAGCATTCCCCATACACCTCAACTGAATGGAAAATCTGAAAGGCTTAATCGTACAATTATGGAGAAAGCCAGAGCACTACTATATGAATCAAGGGCTGAAGAAAAGCTTTGGGGAGAGGCTGTTAGAAGCTCAGTTTATCTTCTTAATCGTTGCCATTCTGACACAGTAGAAGTAACACCTGCTGAAAAATGGTATAAAAGAAGGCCAGATATGTCAAACATAAAAGTATTTGGTTGTGAAGCTTACACCAAAGTGCTAGGACACACAAAAAAAACTTGAGTCTAGGAGTAAAAGACTGATCTTCATAGGATATGCTCCAAATGGATTCCGTCTGTGGGATCCAGACAAACAGAAAGTCATTATTGCTAGAGATGTAGTGTTTAATGAACACGGAAGAGAAATAGCCAGAGAAAAAAATGAAGAAGTGTACATAAGATTAAGGGAAGAAACAGAAAATAAAGAAGGACAAGATACAGAGGAAGTGCAGGAAACTCAAGAACTGACAGATGATGAAATTGAAGAGGAAATCCCTGAACAAATAGAAGTTGGAGAAAGAAAAACAAAAAGAGTAAGAAAAATTCCCAGCAAGTATCATGATTATGTTCTGATGACATATCAAGAAGCAATTGCTGGAGATGAAAAAGATAAATGGATTGCAGCAATCAAGGAAGAAAAGGAATCATTAAATAAAAACAATACTTGGGAACTAGTTAATGAAAATGAAGCCAAAGGAAAACGAGTCTTAACAAACAAATGGATATTTAGGAAAAAAGAAGATGGGCGATACAAAGCAAGGTTAGTAGTTCGTGGGTGTGAGCAAAAGAACACACTGGATATTGAAGAAATATTTAGTCCTGTAGTAAATGCCAGCTCTCTCAGAGTTATTTTTGCATTGGCAACTCAGAAAAATTATTCAATGATCAAATTCGATGTCAAGACTGCTTTCCTGTATGGTGAAATTCGTGAAGAGGTATTTATGAAAGTACCTCAAGGCTATAATGAACGAGGAAAGATCTGCAAGTTGAACAAAGCATTGTATGGTCTCAAACAAGCACCTGTAACTTGGAACAGGAAATTTACCTCAGTTATGAAAACTAAAGGAATGATGCCAACAGCTACAGAAAAATGCATTTTCAAGAATAATAATGGTTCTATTATATTAGCAATATATGTTGATGATGGAATAGTAATAGGAGAAGACATATCTGAGTTAAGAGACCTAGTAAAAAGGCTTGAAGAAGAATTTGAAATTAAAAAAGACGACGATCCAACATCCTTTCTGGGAATGGAAATACATAAAAATGAAAATGGAATAAAATTGACTCAGAGCAAATACTTAAAAACAACACTTGAAAAATTCAACATGGAAAATGCAAAAATGGTAACCACTCCTGAATTGAAAAATATTGATAGAGGTGTAGAACCAGAAAAGAAGTTTCCATATAGAGAAGCTATTGGAAGTTTACTCTATCTTTCTACCAGAACACGTCCTGATATTGCTCATTCAGTTAACATAGCAAGCAGATACATTGAAAATCCCATGAAGGAAGATATAATTGCTTTGAAAAGAATAATGAAATATTTGGTAGGGACAACTGAAAAGGGAATACAATATAATTGAGACACTGATATCAGAAATAGTCAAGTGAAGAATTAAAAAAACTCTAAAATTAGGGGAAGGTGTTGAGAAAGTAAAAAAAAAAGGGAAGAAGATTATTATTATTGTTACTACTACTATTAATATTGCTGTTACTGTTTTAATTTAAATAATTTTAATGTTTTTTAATTATGATACTTATGTGTGGATATTTCCCCACAGAGGGCACTCTGGCTGTATGTATAAAAACCAGAACCCTTTGTGTCAGACCCCTCTCCTTTCCTTTGTCTTGTGTGTAAATGAAGACACGTGAAAAATAAAAGCTCAACAGTAAAACAATAAAGTCTAGTTCTTTGTCCCTAAAATTTGAACACACACTCGTTGACAAACACAATAAAATCACATATATTATAGACATATCCATTCCAAACACTTACATCAAACAAAACACATGCATTGAAAAAATCAGCAAGTACCACAGAACTCGCCCAGGAAGTAAGGCATCTATGGAGGATGGATAGGGTGCTTATTGTACCTGTCGTTCTCTCCTGTACAGGTGCGATACCACACACACTACACAAAAGTCTGGGAACATTACAATTGAATAGAAACACATACATCACACTACAGAAGGCCACTATATTGAATACATGCCACATTGTTAGGAAATTCCTGAATACAGACACTGACATACTTATTTAATTTTAGTTTTTGGTTGCTATGCCTTGACTCTGGTCTGGCATAGTACACAGCCACAGGTTTGAACTGAGTATAAGCCACTAAATACTGTATAATAATAATATTCATCAATTTAATGAAAAAATAAAGTTAATAAAATAATTTGAAATACTAACCTCATCTAGTTCAAATGAATCCTTATACTGATTATCATTTTTCTTCTTACTTCCTTTAATTGCTTCAATATTTGATTTTAATGTAATTTTTTTATGTACAGTTCCAGAAAAGCATGGCACATTTTCATTCTTTGAATTTTCCTCAGGATTTTTGTCAAAAGTATCATCATCATCTATTCTAGACTGCCTACATATAAGCGGCCTTCTTTTTGAGGATTCAGACTGTAAAAATTTATGTTTTGTCACTGATTTGTCATCTTTATCATCACGATTTTGATTTTGACCTTTTAGAGTTTCTTCATCAAGTTCTTCAACACACGTTTTGTCATCCTCTAATTTTTGATACATCATTTTCCATTTTGAAGTCTTAGAACGTGGCAATGAGCCTGAATCATCACTTGGAGTAATTTCTGATGATTGTATCAGACCTCCTTCCTGGTCAAAACTATATGTATGCCTTCCAATTATTAATCTCTTAGGCTTTTCTAAAGGATCTTCTTTCCCCTGCTTTTCCAAAAACTCCCGATTAGCAGGGTCCAAAATGCTATCAGAACTATGTCTCATTTTACCACTACGGAAGGCAGATGCTGCCTTCATTACAGATATAATATCTTGAAGAGAAGTGGAACTTCCTGCAGATGATTTTCTCTGTTTTTTATCATTACTACCTAACCTATCTAAAATTCTGCTTGCTATTGCAGAAGAAGGTTGACCATCTAAATGTGGAGAAGCTATAAAAAATAAACAGAATGAACAAAACAAAATAAAAAAAACCAAACAAAATCATACAAAATTAAAATAAAGAAAATAAAACATTTAATAAGGATAGTTCTTCATAATAAGTCTATCTGAGATGAATTTTAAAATGTTTGATGATAACTTATTCATTTTCAAAATTAAAATTCAATTCCTTTTGTAGAATCTTTACAATATTGGTGTAGTTATATTTATTAATATTCAAATTATTGTGTATAATAATTAAAATCCCTAAAAAAATTCATGATATTAAGCAGTGGTTATTTATAAGCAAAATATTAATAATAATTTTGCTTGTGAATAACTGCTGCTTAATATCACATGTTTTTATAATGATTTCAATGTTAAGAATTTTTTGAAGCCTTAATATCAGTAGAGATTTAATAGGAAGACTGTCTTCAGTGGTGGCTTCCTTAGCCAATGTGTCTGCCCGTTCATTTCCTTTGGTGCCTTGGTGTGCCCTTGTCCAGGTCAGATAATAATTATTACTTGAACGAAGGAGTATTTTCTTAATTTTGTTGGCAGTTGGGTGGGTGTTGTTGTTCCTGATGTAGTAATATATGCAGGAGGACCAATCAGCTGGTGCTCAAGGCGTCAACCTATTGTTGCATTATCATCCACAGAAGCTGAGTATATTGCAGCTGCAGACTGCTGCAAAGAAGTACTGTACTTAAAATCACTCATCCAAGAACTTGTGTGCAGGGAAGTAAAAGTTGAGTTAAACATTGATAATCAAAGCTCAATCCATCTGATAAAGACTGGAATAGTAAACAGACGCAGCAAACATATTGATGTACGTTATCATTTCATTCATGAAAAGTTTGTGAGTGGTGAGGTGGATGTGAAGTTTTGTCCTACTGAAGCTCAGATTGCAGATGAAAAACCCCTAAACCCCTGAGTAAAACTAAGTTTGAGACACAGATATCAGAAATAGTCAAGTGAAGAATTAAAAAAACTCTAAAATTAGGGGAAGGTGTTGAGAAAGTAAAAAAAAAAGGGAAGAAGATTATTATTATTGTTACTACTACTATTAATATTGCTGTTACTGTTTTAATTTAAATAATTTTAATGTTTTTTAATTATGATACTTATGTGTGGATATTTCCCCACAGAGGGCACTCTGGCTGTATGTATAAAAACCAGAACCCTTTGTGTCAGACCCCTCTCCTTTCCTTTGTCTTGTGTGTAAATGAAGACACGTGAAAAATAAAAGCTCAACAGTAAAACAATAAAGTCTAGTTCTTTGTCCCTAAAATTTGAACACACACTCGTTGACAAACACAATAAAATCACATATATTATAGACATATCCATTCCAAACACTTACATCAAACAAAACACATGCATTGAAAAAATCAGCAAGTACCACAGAACTCGCCCAGGAAGTAAGGCATCTATGGAGGATGGATAGGGTGCTTATTGTACCTGTCGTTCTCTCCTGTACAGGTGCGATACCACACACACTACACAAAAGTCTGGGAACATTACAATTGAATAGAAACACATACATCACACTACAGAAGGCCACTATATTGAATACATGCCACATTGTTAGGAAATTCCTGAATACAGACACTGACATACTTATTTAATTTTAGTTTTTGGTTGCTATGCCTTGACTCTGGTCTGGCATAGTACACAGCCACAGGTTTGAACTGAGTATAAGCCACTAAATACTGTATAATAATAATATTCATCAATTTAATGAAAAAATAAAGTTAATAAAATAATTTGAAATACTAACCTCATCTAGTTCAAATGAATCCTTATACTGATTATCATTTTTCTTCTTACTTCCTTTAATTGCTTCAATATTTGATTTTAATGTAATTTTTTTATGTACAGTTCCAGAAAAGCATGGCACATTTTCATTCTTTGAATTTTCCTCAGGATTTTTGTCAAAAGTATCATCATCATCTATTCTAGACTGCCTACATATAAGCGGCCTTCTTTTTGAGGATTCAGACTGTAAAAATTTATGTTTTGTCACTGATTTGTCATCTTTATCATCACGATTTTGATTTTGACCTTTTAGAGTTTCTTCATCAAGTTCTTCAACACACGTTTTGTCATCCTCTAATTTTTGATACATCATTTTCCATTTTGAAGTCTTAGAACGTGGCAATGAGCCTGAATCATCACTTGGAGTAATTTCTGATGATTGTATCAGACCTCCTTCCTGGTCAAAACTATATGTATGCCTTCCAATTATTAATCTCTTAGGCTTTTCTAAAGGATCTTCTTTCCCCTGCTTTTCCAAAAACTCCCGATTAGCAGGGTCCAAAATGCTATCAGAACTATGTCTCATTTTACCACTACGGAAGGCAGATGCTGCCTTCATTACAGATATAATATCTTGAAGAGAAGTGGAACTTCCTGCAGATGATTTTCTCTGTTTTTTATCATTACTACCTAACCTATCTAAAATTCTGCTTGCTATTGCAGAAGAAGGTTGACCATCTAAATGTGGAGAAGCTATAAAAAATAAACAGAATGAACAAAACAAAATAAAAAAAACCAAACAAAATCATACAAAATTAAAATAAAGAAAATAAAACATTTAATAAGGATAGTTCTTCATAATAAGTCTATCTGAGATGAATTTTAAAATGTTTGATGATAACTTATTCATTTTCAAAATTAAAATTCAATTCCTTTTGTAGAATCTTTACAATATTGGTGTAGTTATATTTATTAATATTCAAATTATTGTGTATAATAATTAAAATCCCTAAAAAAATTCATGATATTAAGCAGTGGTTATTTATAAGCAAAATATTAATAATAATTTTGCTTGTGAATAACTGCTGCTTAATATCACATGTTTTTATAATGATTTCAATGTTAAGAATTTTTTGAAGCCTTAATATCAGTAGAGATTTACCTAAATGCCTATTAAATAGTATGAATTATAAAATGATATTTGCTCATATTTTATTAATTAGGAATTAAAATAAAAAGTAAAAAACTATTTTTGATTAAAACATATTAAAATTTACAAAAATTTAATTAATGTATACAAGAACAAAAAAAAAATCATCTATTAATAAATCTCAAAATTAATGAAATTTTATGGTTAATATCAATTAAATAAAATGAATTAACAAAATTATATTGGTGAAAATTGCACAAAATTTTTTAATACAATGTACAGTGTTATTAAAATTAAAGTATTTCTACTGAGAAGACTGTGAAACAAGTTCTATGGCTCATAATGAAGAGAAATTTGGACAATAGGTATTTCAGAGAATGTAGTTGCCATTTGTTTAAAAAAGTATAAAAATTATCATTAGATGATGCTGTGGCAATACAAATCACTTGACATAACAATTGTCCACTGTGTGTTCATTGTGGTCAACAGCAGCTACATTCAAAGAACAGCATTTTTTTTTTTACAACAGACCAAAACATATCAACTAGAATAATAGCACAAGACGACTAATGCAGTCCTTCAGATCAGAGTTTAATGTCTTTCCCAATATATCTGGGTTATTCAAGAAACTCTACAACTAGAAGTAGGTCTCTAGTGATCAGAGTAACCAAGATATCCCATTTGTCTGAAAAGGGTTATCTTTAGTAATCTTTATACAAAGATTACTACGATGTGAATGCACTGCCCCACATTACCTGTTATCCAACAAATAATGTGGGACAATGCACTATTTTGCCTGAATGCACTCAAATTGCTGCAGCTATGGGATTGCAAAATTTTCCATCATATCATAATACTGTTCTCCAGTGATGGAACAAATGCAGAGACAAGTCAATAACATCTCTCCAAAAAAATATCACCCAATGATAACAGTGGCCATAAATCCATACCATACTATCACTTTTGAATAATGTAATGGGATCTCTTGAGCATCACCCCAAAGGATGTTCCTTGACAAAATGATTTTCACTAACATTCATCTAGGAACTGCAATTGCAAATGTTCTATGAATATCATCATCAACATGATATAGCATGTGCATCTTATAAGGATAGGACTAGAACATGTCATATCACCAGTCCTATAGTAAGGCCTGTCCACTTCAGACAATAGATGGAACACTTTCATCACCATGGGGAGACTAACTTGATACACCCAACATTACTGTAACTACATCTCCCACACAAGAAAAGTCTACTCAATTTTTAACTTCTATCAAGAATTGCTTTAAATTTCACAAACATTTTGCAGACAGAATAAACAAACATAAACCCATGCCTTAAGTGCTTCTGACATAAATTCTCTGATAGTCACAGCTGCAGTATATTGTTACTATTCTGATAATATAGCTTCATGGTACTGCCTTTTCCTGCAAAGTTGGTGGCAATGCTGTTATAATGCAGGAAAATGTTTATAATTTTGAAGAGAACTGCTTTGCTTTTATACAATTTAGTAGTCAACATTATGCAAAGACATAAGTTATTGCTATAGCACTATGTAGTGACAAATTAATTTCTGCACTTTTTTAATAAATAGAAAGCACATCCTCCAAAGTACCTATTGTCCAAATTTCTCTACATTATGAGCCTTAGACCTTGCTTCATAACTCTCTCAGTAGATACTTTAATTTATATAACCTGTATATTTCCATCATATCATAATACCATTAATACTAAATATCAGGGATTCCCAATGGGAGTGATATAGACACCCTGCAGTCAATGGAATTTTGAAAGGGGTTGATAGAACTGAAAGGGTCAATTGAGGGTTGATGGAAAAATTCATACTTATTGTACTTTTTTGAGAATTTCAGATAATTTAAAAATAGTAATAATCATGTGGAAAATTCATTAACCGATTTAATAATTTATTTGATATATTATGCAAAATCTCGGAAAATAAAAATTTTAAGGGAGTCAATTGAAAAGAATATTTTATATTTGGGGTGAATGAAAGAAATAGGTTGGAAACCCTGCTCAATATAATCAATTAGGATAATTAATGTATTGAAGAGAAATGTTCCTTGATCTTTGTAAGTACATATCTTTATATTAAATATAATAACATTCTTTGTTATCAAACTATTATATATTGTAGTATGAAGAAGACATGACAAATGCATAGATATCAAAGATAAAAATATTTTTCTTTGATTAAATAACAGATTATGATTATAATGATATTTTTTTTAATGTATTGAACAAGTCAGATTTGTTAAAAATAAAGAATACAAATAAGATAAAAAAAAAGTGGTCATAAAATTTTATAAAAAGTATAAAGAAAGAGAATATTGCATGCATTACAATAATTTAATTTATGTACACAAAAACAATCTTCTATAAATAGATTGAACTATAAAATAATTAAAAAAACAATAAGTTTAACATTAAAATCATAATTTAAATAATTAAATTATGTAAATTAAAATATGAAATAAATTAATAATTTATATACTAAGCTAAATATTTGCAAAAAATAAAATTTATTCCAAAAGTAATAATATAACTACTTTTTTCTAATAACTTTTTTTAATTATAAAAAAATTAAACAAAATGTAAAGACTTCTTAAACTTTTTGATTTTTCCTCCAGATACAATATAAATTATAAATTTATCTTAAATAGTTTAATTACTTCATTAAAATTTTATTTAATAAATGAAACAATTTAGGTTTGTCTTCAATATAACTTTTTTATTCTTATATTTTTCTCATTTTCTGCACCTTCAAGCCTTATCAATGCTCACTTCAAAGATGCTAACATTTAGTTTTTAATTTAAAGAATAAAACTGAATATTTGTGGAAATTAAAATAGATTTGTAAAAACCAATTAATTTTTCCTCAAAAATGTATCTTACTAAAATTTAAAAAAAATTAATTTTAAATTTAATGATTAAAAATGTATATTTAATTAATTAAATTTAAACTTGCAATAATGAGAGAATTATTAAATAGATAAAAATAACAGTAATTCAATGTAAACTAATTCTGAAAATCTAATGTACTGGTACAATTGTGAAAATTAAACACAATTTTTGTCAGTGCAAAATAGCAGATTACCGAGTTCCCAATGAAATGATTTGAGTTCTATTATTTGAATCTTCAAATATATCTTTCAGCCATTTACTAATCATTTGAGCTAGGACATCTAAGCACTAAAAAGTCATGTAAGTTATAACTTTTATAACCATTTATATGGTTTTTAGTGCTGAGATATCCTAGTAATCTATTAATAAACTTTGTAATTGATAGGATAATAGATTATCTTAGGTATAAAAAAAAATCATTTTCCCACTCTTTTCATTATTGAGAAAATTATCAGATAATTTTCTTTTGTAAATTAAAGAGCTTTACAAGTATTAGAAATTAAATGCCATTAGTCAAAACACTAAGGAAAAAAAATTAATATATTCAAATATATCAAAAATTCCTAAAATAAAAATAAGGAGGGAACCTTAGTATTAAATTATTTGGATTTTGTAATATATGCACACATTTTTTTTCTTAGACTGTTCTCAAAAGCAAAATACAAAAATCAGGATAAGAAACTTTTTTGTATATATTTACATTGATACAAATAAAGTTAACGGTTTCAAGAAAATATAAATTAACATAAAAAATATCTAAATATAATAAAAAAAATTAGGTTTTTAATTATATCTAAATAATCAAAAACAAATTAATTAATCAAAGGATAATGCTAATTTATAATTTCAACTTATTTTTTATTATAATAAAAACTATGTATATATAATATAAATGCAAGAAATACAATAAAATTAATGACAAAACTTTATTTATAACTTTTTAACAATAGCTTTTTGAATTATACAACTTGTATTACAGAAGCATATATTTCACATCCATTCTTTTAAAAAACATTGTTTAATTAAACAAACTAGAACAAATAAAATCAATTTGATTATATACATTAATTATTGTTACATTTTTTTTTATTTGTTATTAAAATTGTTACAAAACTAATTTTGAAGTATTTTTGAATAAATTATGAATATTTTTATTTATAAAAAAAATAAATAAATAAAACACTAATTTATCTAATTAATTAATTATTACTTAAAATTAAACACTTGTTAATCAACACTTGTTTTTTTGCTAAAAGTTGTATACTTTTAACAAAATTTGACAGATATTGTACATGTATACATATATAGTCTCCTTATTCTGTATATTTATATATTAATAATAATTTGTTTACATAGATCCCTGTATATATATATATTATTAGATATTAAGATGTATATATTTATTGATAAATGAAAAAGTTAATAAAATATTATTATTAATTTAAAATAATGTATTTATAAAATATGAATATTTTCAATTTACTGAATTATCTAAATTATTAATGAATTCAGAAAAACTATGCATTATAGGAAAACATATAGAATATCTAATATAATGTTAAAATAATACTGAACATTTGTGTAATTTTGAAGTATTTTGAACATAATCTGACAAATATACCACAATAAAATTGTTGTAATGTAATAAATTTTAATTTTTTATCACAGCATTTACATTG